TTTTTTTTTTTTTTGGTTTTTTTCCGGTACCAGGAACCGAACTCACGACCTTGCACTTGCCAGGCAGGCGCTTTGCCACTGAGCTAAATCCCCAGCCCCTGATTCAAGATTTTATGAGGAGTGTTCCAGGCCAGACTGCGCTATATAACAAGACCCTGTCTCAAAAAATATAACAACAAAAATCTAAGAAAATATGTAATAAAACATCTAATAAGGTTAAAATGTGAATTTTTTCTTTCCCCAGGCCTCTGTGGGTAGAGTTCCCTAATGAATTAGAAACTTTTGGTATAGAAGATGAATACATGCTAGGTGAGTATTAATTAGAATTATAAGTACTATAATTATGCTTTTATTATATTTTCTAATATGAAAGCACTTTAATCACCCCTAGTTCCAAGAAAGCCAAAATAAATAAATAAATAAGTAAAAGACATTCCTTCACCAAGATTTCTAATGCACTAATGGGATCATAGCTCTATTCTGTTACAATGTGCCACTTATACTATTCTTGTCAACTTCAGATAAATCCATTCTGTTTGTTGGAGTAACTTAGGATTTTTATGTTGAGTCCACTCCTCTAAGCCCTATGAGACCCCTCCAAGGAAGGGATGTAGAAAAAAGGTCAGATGGCTATAGTACAGATCTGAAAGCATCTAGGTTGTACATAATGAGCTATTTCTTTAATAAGGATTAATTCACAAAGCTGGAACTTGGAACTTTATCATTGTAGAACATGGCTCAAGAAGTCTTCTAGGGGCTGGGAATATAACTCGGCGGCACAAGGGCTGGCCTGACAACTGCAAAGTCCTGAGTTCGATTTTCAATACCCAATAAAGAAGTCAGGCTAGCCAGGAACAGTGGCACACACTTGTAATCCCAGCACTCAGGAGGCTGCAAAGTCCTGAGTTCGATTTTCAATACCCAATAAAGAAGTCAGGCTAGCCAGGAACAGTGGCACACACTTGTAATCCCAGCACTCAGGAGGCTGAGGCAGGAGGATCATTGAGAGTTCAAAGCCAATCTGGACTAAATAGTTATCAGGTTAAATAACCCTTAATTATTGTGGGCTGATCAGGCCCGCAATGTCCCAAGCGAGTGGACAGCGAAGGCTTAAATAAATGAGACAAGTGGTCTGATTTCAGGGCTCCAGGAGGGTCTAACTCTCTTACAGCGTTGATATCCTCTGGGTTTAGACAAAGACTTCTCTGGGCAGCTCATATTTATTTGGTTTTCAAATAAATGAGGAGGATACTCAAGAAAACATGGAACCTTGGGAGAATTTTCCCAAGTAGTAAATTACGTCAATCAGAAGAACTACCTTATTTTTAGGATGGTATTTATTGTAGGAGTGTGGAGCCGGCAGCTGCAATCTCCTTGTAGTTAAGTGGGGGTTGGAGCCAAACATCCTCAGTGTGGCCTTATCTTGTCCTTTGAGGTGTCACAGCTTCACAGGCCAATACCGGCCTCAGGGTGACAGGTGGCTCAAAGAGATTTACTTACTGTGAGTCCACTGCCCATCTTCAGACAAGGTGCCTAAACTTCAGACAACTCACAAGTAAATACGGAAAGCCCATTGGTTAATATTAAATCCTGCTCAGAGCCACTTCGTAGTGGTCTCCATCACATAGTGAGTTCAAGGCCAGTCTGAACTGCATAACAAGATCCTGCCTCCAAAAAAAAGTCAGGCTAAACATTGAGTTGCCAAAGGATGAATCTGATTTCTAATCAATGAAAACTTCCAAATATAAAAATATAAAATAAAACAGGCCCTGGGCTGTGGTTGTAGCTCTGTGGTAGGCACTTGTCTAGCATTTGCAAGGCCCAGGGTCAGTCCCCCAGCACGTTAGGTCTCAGCTAAAGTAACTGCCTTGGAGAAACTGCCCTGACAACTCCGGCTCTCCTCATGTCGGGTCTACATCCCATTTCTGTCCAGAGTGACTGGTTCCAAGAACAAAGTGCCTGCGGATGAATAGAAAAGCAAGAGAAACAAGAAAAACAAGAGGGGCATAATTCTGGGATCAGGGGGCTTACAGCCTCTTGGACTGCAGCCTCCATTACCAATCTCAGTCACCTTTCATTGAGCGAGAACCAAGGACGTAGCTAGTACAAATGAGCAGATACCTAACTTTTTTTGTTGTTTTGTTTTTAGCAAGGATAATACAGCTCAACTATTATAAGTATGAGATTTGACTTAGTAAGCCATCATGTTACTCCTTTCGGGCATGTCTCAGTAAAGCATTTAGTGCTGACCTCACGGCTTTCCACAAGGACACAGGTTCTGCAACCTTATCCTTTCCACCAGTGCTTTTGCTAGACTCCCTCCAGAACTAAACAGTCACGTGGCTTGATCAGGCCTGAGGCAATACAATGAAAGAGTAATTAAAGGATTATCCTTCTCCACATGTAATCCAACACATGCCTGTAATCCCAGCATTTGGGAGGCTGAGGCAGGAGGATCATAAACTCAAGGCCATTATACTGAAGCCTTATCTTAAGAAACCCTAACAAACAGTAAACAAATCATTGTGTGTTCTCAGTGCTTTCTCTAGTTCTTCCTATTACATAGCTTTCTACTCCATAACTTTGCCTCTTAACTCTACTTAACTTGTAATTATCTTTTACTATCTATCTTCATTTACTGTAAATTCCCTGAGGGCTGGGACTATGCTTGCTTTATTTGCTCTATCCCCAGAGCCTAGCATGGTGCCTAAGACTTAGTAAGCACTCAGGAAATAAGTACTTACTGAGTAAAAGAATTCATTCACAAACTGATGGATTTTATACAGATATGATAACAAATCAAAGCTAAACTAATGATCCAGATTACTTTAGAAAGAACTACGCCTTACTGCTGATAACCCCGAAGGACAGGGCCTATGTAACCACACTGAGCACCCTCTGGATGGCACTTGTAGGCTCACTGGCATCAGGGTCCGTAACGGAAAAACACAGACAGCCATGAGAAAGAAGTGCCATCCTGCTGACAAATTAATGGCACACTAGCTATGGTACCTAACCTAACTGTAACCCTAACCCTACAGCTACACCTATCCCTACCACTAACCCTAACGCAAACTAACTGTGGTACCTAAACCTAACCCTAACCCTAACCCATAACCCTACCCCTAACCCTAAGTAGCTGTGGTACCTAAACCTAACCCTAACCCTACCCCATAACCCAACCCCTAACCCTAAGTAGCTGTGGTACCTAAACCTAACCCTAACCCTACCCCTAACCCTAACCAACCATAACCCTAACCCTAACTAACCCTAGCCCTAACCCTAACCATGACCCTAACTAACACTAACCCTAACCCTAGAGTTACTGTGCCATCAATGGATTCATGACGGGTGATACCTCAGTCATCTTTTTGAGCCCCTGTCCTCTTTCTAACAGTGCATCTGTGGTTAATTGTTGCTTCAGATCCCCATGTTCCTTGCCTACAGAAGTGCACAAGCTAGTGGTCTTTAAGAGCACAAGTGTTTAAGTAAGTGGAAAGGATATTTTCAGATTTCTTACAATAATACTCAGGTCCTTTTTCTCCTCCATTTTTTAGGAAGTGCTTTATTGATTCATCCAGTCACAGAACCAGAAGCAACCATGATTGATGTATTTCTGCCAGGATCCAATGAGGTAAGAGTGATAACAAACGGCCACAGATCTCGTGACTCAGATCTCTTACCCCTTCGTTTCTCTAAGAGATTTCTTCATCGTGCAGCTGTGAGCACATTCCAAATGTCCGTGCAACTGATGGCCACTGTCCTCAGAGGTCAAGAAATGTAATGAGGGAGAGGAGAGGGGAGGGGAGGGGAGGGGAGGGCAGGGGAGGAGAGGAGAAGAAAAGAGAGGAGAGAAGAGGAGAGGAGAGGAGAGGAGAGGAGAGGGA